ATCTAATAGTCAATCACATATTACAAATCTACACGTATACAATCGAAATTGCTAATAACGGCAGATTACGATGGTTACACTGTGCGTGCAACGTCCAAGTTTATTTTAAACATAATCACGTAGTCAGATACATAAGTATACGATTGACCGCGGTCTCGTAATTACTTAAACAGACCCGAGTACATAATTTGATTTTGAATAAATATCAGTTCCGAGAATAACCGAAGGATATCGCAAAAGAAATGCTGCAACATCGACCGTAAATTCTTGAAAATGACTCCTCTTTCAGGGGTTTCTCTGTAAACACTCGCACGCATTATCTAATCTAATTATTTTACTGGACAGTAGATATGTAGGTACATGCCGAGTTTACTTCCCATGGACGTTTCTACAAGCCGGCAAATTCTCAAACAATCTATCGAGCAAATTAGCGGTAAGATAACGTTGACAGAGATAAATCGATTCGCGTTGCCGCGCGATATAATTATTATATATAATTAGTTTGTGAAAGCTGGTTAATCGATACATAAAATAACGATATATAAAATAACAAACATACATTCGCGCGTGCCCTTCGAAATCATAAAACCATAGAGCCTTTTTTGTTATTATTTATTAAAGAATAGTAAAGATATTTAAAGTCATCAATAAATATTGATTTTCAATTTTTAAAACTAACATATTTTTCAAAACAAAGTAAAAAGGTTCTACTGTCTGAACATCTTTTCGCACGAAGAAATCATCTTTCTATTGCTTGTACCATCGTTACTTTGTATATACGTGCGTATGTGTGTCGAACCCGGCATGTGCGCTATTTCGCACGGTCATCGACGCGATATAGCTCAATATGAGTATACATGGACGCGGAACAGGAGAATGAATGCATCAACTGTGCACCAGGGGAGGAACCGCAGGCCGGCAGGCAGACAAGCGGGCAGGAAGGCAAGCAGGCAGGCAGGTAAGAAGGTAGGCAAGCGGGCAAGCGAGCAGGCAGGTAAAGACAGGTAAAGGCAGGTAGACGCAGGTAGGTAGGTGTGTCCATGCCAGAGCGCCGAGTGTGGGCCAGTCCAGTTATTTGAGACGGATAAGAAGTTGAAAAAAAGTGAAGAAAAAAACGCGTACAAGCGCGAGAGCGGATATAAGTGTACGGAAGGATGAAGAGGAGGAGAAGGTTTGCAACAGAAATTGATAGGACGCTACATTAATGCAGTATCTTCGCCAATGTTATCCAATGGTTGATAGGGTGGGGGTGAGGGGAACAGAAAAGGATACATTCGATGTCTCGTACGAACATCAGCTCTTTCGCGCTCTCTTTGTCACTCGACTATTCCTCCTGCTTATCGCTCGTTTGCTACACTGTCCGAATAACGTTGTCATGCGCGAAATAATATTAGCCCTTTGGCGAGTCGCAGGTATTCCTATGGAATCACTCGTTGATAAGAATGACAGCTTGAGACAACAATTTTTGGAAGATTTCGTTTGCTATAAGCGGCTGAGAATGCTTTTAATTATTGGAAGAATAAATGAGAGAAAGAAAAAGAAAGAGAGGATAAAGGAGAGGAGGGGAAATCCCTATGTAATTTCTCGTGATGACATCGGTGGGTCAAGAACGACGTCCTGTTCTCGCTTGAATTTACAACGGATAATATATGGTCTATCGTCCACGTAATGGATCTCTTAATTACGTCGTTTCATTTAGACGATTAGACGATCGCCGCCCACGTTTTCTCGGATCTCGAAAAGTCTCCCAGATAAATCTGCCTAATTTATGAAAATGTATTCACCACGAGAATTCATTCGAGTGGGCCACGACGTCTCGGCTTTGAGGAGCGTCGTAGCTTCTGTAACGAGTTTTCAGATCGACATCGATCGATGCACTTAATTATATTGAATTACAATCGTATCTGTTATATCGTTAACATTTGACACGCACGATACGCGATTGTAATTGAATTACGGGTAGAGAAAAAAACGGCATGCATTTATGTTTATCTTAAAAATATTTTGACATTCAGAAATAAACTTCTAGAGGCATCTGTATTTAATTTTCTTTCACAATATAGATAAATGAGAATTATCTTCAAAGATCTGAATGAACGCTTTATATACAATGCTACCAGAAATTTATATTCTGTTCATTCATAGCTTTTTTTTTAATGAGCAACATAGATCTTAAACACAACTCGACAGGCTATCTCTATGTCGTTTGACAATTTAGTTTGATGTGGTTTTGAATGTATCAATCGAACTTTGTTTAATTTGAGAACCTGTCTACTTCTACACATATGCTCGTAAATTACATAGAATACATAATGCAAGTGTTTTAAGAGCAGGAAAATATTTTAAAGCATATATATCGCTGCATTTAGCTTCGGCATGTCGAGCGGCCCCGTTAATTTCACTAATTAAGTTAGCAACTGACCGCCCTGCCTGTTCCATCTTGTATCCTCTCTCCCACTGTCTCTTATAAGCGTTATTTATACTTTTTTGCGCATTAATTTCTGCTCTTCTTATTTCTCGTCCGACTTCCTCGCGTCGCCGCTTATTTTCCTTCTCTGCTTTGCGTCCGTGTCGTCGAGCGTACGTAAACGTTTTCGCTCTTTTAAAAAACATACCGTACGGGTTTTCTTCGATTTTAAATTCTACGACATTATCAACTTGCAGATGTGACAACAGTAAAGATTTTAATAAATATTTACACGTATTTTCGCGATGTCACGTTTACAAAACGCACTCCGTCTTGTGTAAACTTTAATAAAAAGATAGTGATCGTCATTAATTAAAATACTTAACTCGTAATTAATTGTTGCATACATATTTGTGACGTACGCAAATATCTCATGCAATCATAATATTCTCTCCAATCTCTTTAGCAGGATTTTATAATGTATTTATATGCGCACTTTATTCAGCGTGGAATTCCAGAAGTCACCCACGAGCCTCTCGATGATGACGGACGAGGCTTGTACAATGGCAAGAGTACGGGTAACAAAGTACGATTATCTCATTGAGCGTTGTAAATCACATCGTGTTTACCAAGCTTCTCTGATTCTTCTACCTCGGTGGTTTAATCCGTTCGGTTAATCATGAAAAATCGCTGACTTGCACCATTACGAAGCGCCGCGCTGTTACATCTGCTCTTCTTCGCATACAGGATGTTTCAAATTAAAAACCTTTTTATTAGAAATGGAAAAAAATAAGATAAAAAGAAATATCTTGATCTCTCAGAGAAATTATATGATTGTAATTAATTTTTCTTCTAATGGAGATTATTTTTCTATGTTGTATCTTTTCTCTGTCTTTAAAATCTAAAAGATTCACGAGGTCTGATCTCGAGATGTAACACGCTATACATGTACAACCGAGTAATATCCTTTCGATGTGGGACATTTATCCCCTCGACTCACATTAGTATTTAATGCCGAGATGACAAATGTGTCGCATTTAACAATATTTTTGGATCACATATCAGCTTCCACTCAGGGATTATCTTGTTCTCGAAAAATATCGCTTTCGCCGTTTGTCATCGAACCGACCCGCCACTACGACGCGACGCGCAGCTTGTTGATATTAGGTTGTTCCTTTACCATAAAAAATGAAGAAGCGATTAAAGATGTCTGTTCATATATCAAGCACATTTTTAAATAATTGCACGAGATAACTTTACGAGAAATAATTTTTTCTCTTTTGACTACTGATAAAATAACGATGAGATTGTACAAGTTTAATCTTATTTTAGAATAAGTTTAGGATTATCTAGAAAATTGGTTTGAAAGAAATTTAAGGAATATATGTATACTAAATATATATATGTTTCTAAATATTAGTTTTTTTTAATCGACAAGAACATGGGATAATCCTGGTCTTCGAACATAAGTTATCTACTTGGAGTGCAGTCTTGGGTTGCAGTCACGACGAAAACGGTAACACGAGAAACCAGACCCTATTTTATATCGGAATGTGTGATGCGTATGTATGGTAGTTCACTACCACTTGCCATTCCTCTGATTTCCATAGTGATAAAAATGCGCTACCACGTCTCTCATCCGTAAAATTCTAAGCGCTATAAAAATTCTGACACAGCACTGCCGTAAAATGTCTCTTCGAATTAGCGTTAAAGAGATCCGAATAGAGTACTTAATTTAAGAATTTTCGATTTTGAACTTCAAGAGAAAAATGTCCCAAAGTTTGGATGAGATTTTGAACATTGACTTAACATTGCTATCAATCTTTCATGGAATACTAATACATTCTTATTGGTTTTATTAAAAAAAACCAATAAGAAAAAAATGATAAATAAGAATGTATATTATTTTTATTGGTTTTTTTAAATAAAATTATGAGCTCCATAAATATTTATGCATGAAATGCCCATTTTGATTTATTTAAGTAGAATGACTGAAGGAATTAAGATACAAACGCTGATCAATTATTCAATAACTACACGAGAGTAATAATTTTCATGGTAAAATAGATGGAGAATTTATTAATATAGTTCTGAAATTCTATTTTTAATCACTGAACCTTCTATAATGAGAGAAAACCTGACGTTTAGAATGTAAATGGATAAATTGATGACAAAGCACGAGAATATTAATGAAAAGATCATTAGTGTGGTACAAGTGCGAGTCTAATAGAATACGGGAATGATGTAACAGCCATGTGTCTTCTTTAACTCATAATATATGTACTGAGGATGTTCCAACACGCACGTGACTTACTGATACATAACAGGCAGTAAGCTATACTACTTTATGCGCGCGTTCAAGTGATGGATTCTCATATATCCAAACTTTTCTTTTTTTACATTTTCAATTGCACAGTGTTTCTATTGCGGATACTTGAAACGTTAACTGCGCAATTTCACCCTGCTACCAACTACTTTACACGGCAGGAGAGCCTTTCGCGGAGCAAAGAGTACAAGTATCTACGTATGTAGCATCCGTGATATATTACGCGGTGTAATAAATACCGAGTGCTGGTGACAGAACAATCCTTACCCACTACCACCACGTGGCCGAAGACCTGATCGTTAGATACGTGGGAACAGTTCCAACGGTGATGTCGGAACTGGTGCCGGCACTCGCGCAGACCCAATGCGGCGCCTTCGCCCACCGCCGGCATCGCGTGCGGCGCTTTTCTGCACTGCTCGCGCTGACTTTTCGCCAATCCAGGGATGCGGCTGCAGACAGCCGCGCCGACCACCACCGCTCCGACCACCCTGGAATAAAGAGATCCGTCGTGAGAAATATATATGTATAAGTGAGAAGATAAATAAGCAATGAATATTTTGATGTACGTGATAAAAAAATTTTAACACGAAAATCTTAGTCTGTATTTTTAAGAGGAAGGGAATAGTTGCCGTAAGATTATTATATCATAATTATCTAGCTTTATGTTCCTTTTTCTCGTAACTAGATAAACGTTTCTAAATTATCTTGTTTTTGTTCTTTTAAATATAGTCAAGTATTTCATATTTGTACAATAAAATCAGAGAAACGAGATAGAATAATTTATATTAAAAAGTTCTTAAGAAGCAAATGACTGGAAAAATAATTAAAAATTTCACGACGATTTATCTTTACCGTCTTCACTTCGATATCTTGACGAGTAAACTGTAAACAGAGCGGTTAACAGGTGCTAAAACCGATCCGATGACAAGCTGAAACTTGATATCCTCAGTCTCCTGCTGGTTTATTGCTTAATTTATATCCTATAGCATCTTTCTTAAGTATTCTTAAGAAAAGTGATTATCTGTATTTTTAATTCTCTTCTTTTAAGAAAAGAAAGAATAATAGAAAGAATAGAGACCGATACATCACTTTGAAGATGATTTATAAAATCGCGCGGTTCATCCATCATTTCGAAAGAGCTATAAATATACCCTTCATTACGAGCCACTTACGATTCTGTTATTCCTTCCCGATCAGCAATGAAATATTAAGGCGCTCCAAAGTACTCGAGGGTGAGTTATCAAGTACTGGGTCGGGGTGGGATGAGGTAAGAAAGTATCAGGCTTCAGAAAGGATCGTAGAAGAGAGGAGATGTAAGGCGAGCAGGTTGAATTTCTGAGAAGCATGAAATTGCGACGATTACGCCGTGTCCCCAGGGCGAGAGATATTTGCATTGGAATGCATCGCGCTGGATCTCGCAGTGGCCGCCGAATCTCTCTTCGTGGCCACGTGGTGGGACAATCTGTAGGATGTCCTGACGACGAACATGAGAAGAAGAAGGGGCGATGGCGTGCCGCCGTGAAAACGAGCCGGTCCGAAATCGCCCGGAGGGACTTCGTTCCTCGTCACGTCGCTTTCGCGAGGCATAAACGAGAAAGACGTTGACGCGAGGGATCCCGTCATCGTTCCCTTCAAAGATTTGGCATGCGCATTCATGATTTCTCGTTGACGGGAAGATGCAATCGAGCAAGGGGCCTGCCGAGAGATGAAAAAAAAAAGAAAAAGGAGAACGCTCTACGTCATTTCTCATAATAAGTACGAGATAGTGAGAACGGGCTCCTTCGTAAATGATTCCAGTTACATTGTGACAATGGTCGCTGTGTGTATTGGATTAATTGAGAAATTAATTAGAGATGCGATTTTGTAGAAAAATCTGACGTTATCCGATTGCAAGAAGGCGGTAAAGTTAAACGTAAGCGGTTACGTTCTCCTTAATTACGTGCTAGGTAATTACGTCACTCGTTAACCTTAATTAAACACGAGTTGCACCATGACGATGCCTCGAAGGCATGTCATAGACGGACAGGTGATAGCGGTTACTCATTTGTCTTCATTGCTCGTTACTTAGTTAAGATGCACTTTATCATGATTACGTCTGATGAATTGTTACAGCACTTGTCTTTTGACGAAGAAAAATTGACGATTCCAAATTGATAACTATTTTATGTTTTTTTATATATTTCAACTTTTCTATTATTTTAAATAGTCTAATTGGTATTATATTTATATACAGTTTCGAAGAAAGTAGCTTTCAGTTTTCATGAAATTTGGTGAAAATTTCTCAAATGATTGTAAACGAATACATGAAAGAATTTTTTATACGAATGAAATTAGTTGAAATACGATTGAAATAGTAAAAGAAATTATTTTTACAGGAATTTACATTTTAGAGTGATAAAAATAAAAGTAAAATTAAATAAAATCGAAAATTATATTTTGTATACATTATTTTGACTGAATTTTATTCACACCAAAAAAATCTTTCCAAGTATCTGTTCGAAAATATTTTGATGGACTTTTACAAAAAAAATTATCCTTTATATTATTATATTAATTAGATTATGTTGAACGTTAAAAACTATTATTGCAGAGTGTATCTGTGTCTTTAATATGATGATCAGGTAAAAGAGAACAACGGACTCGCGTACGCTTTTATGAGCGGCAGCAATCCACACGTAGTCATTAGAGCATAATGTATAACATTACGCCCGTCTCATACAGAGGCTAATGGTGTGCTATTTGCAACAGGGTACCGCAGCACCGTTCGCCATCGACCGTTAAAGTCGCTGTCAGAGCAGTTCCAATTATGTACCGTTTATCTTAATTTTTACAAATTTTCAAACATTGTTTTTATAATCCAATGAAATGAAATTGTTTCTAAAACGATATGTATTTATAACAGATATATTTTTTAATTAAGAAAAGCTTACCTATATATTGTAAAAAAATCATGACAACATTGGACATTTAATATTTCAAAGCAGATTGTCTTCATCGTATCGAAAGATAATTAACGTGTTGCTTTTATGTGATCAACTACCGAAACGTTTTCTGGATTATTTAACATTACTCAATTTATTCCAAAGATTTCAAGCGTTTTAAAGAACTACGGAAAAATGTGAATGTGAATTCCTTGAAAATAGGGGAAAACTGAGGGAAAATAATCAGGCTCACGTGTGTAATATTTTGTGTAATAAGCTATCAATAAGCCGTCGTTAAAATACCTTCGTCAATACATGTGCATAGAGCTCGCATATTCTATCCCTTTTCCCGTGGAAAATTGTGTATCAATTTATAGTAGCAAAGAGCCTATTAAGCATTATTAGTTTCAGTTAAGGCACTCCCTCAAAACTAATTTTCGAGTAAGAAATATTGAACTCCTTCACGTTTACGCTCGCAAATGATATATAATCTAAAATGTAGCGCAATATTTGCAAGCATACTAATACTCCAATCTGGTTTTATTCCTTGGTCGATTTTACCTTGCACGTCTCAATTTCTCGATGCCGGTATTTTTTGATAGTATGAGTCACGATCCACTGATTCATCTAGTCGCGGTTGCATTTTTTAGAAACAACTTCTGTGTGGTTAGCCGCAGAAGTCAGAATGAGGGCCTTTCTAGATAATATCAGTATACAAGGGAAGGGTGTATCGTGTAGTTTTAAAGCGATAAATTATTTTAAAAAAAGTAGACCATAATTAAAAACTTGAAGAATTCAAAATGATAAAAAAGTAAAGTATACCCGTAATCATAATGCAAATTTTGATTTGATTATTACTTTTACTCCCACATATAGGAATGGGTTGACTTGACATAAATCCCTCGAATAATCTGTAGCGGTTATAGGTATCTATTAATGCTGTCTTACACGCTAGATTATAGAAATTGACATAGAAAGATGCATAGATACGAGAATATCACTAGTGCACGCCTTGGCGCTCTGCTTCGATGATATCTTGATAGCGTATGACACCACGGGGGTTCCGTAGTCAAGAATCTTGGGTATAATACAACGCTGCGTCGCTTCGCTTACTCGAATAACTGTAAATCTTCATAATGTCTTGCGCGATGATATCGAAGATGATATCTGCAAAATGGTCGTCCGCTACGAGCGCCGTGTAGAAACGAAAACGGCAAAGAAATCTCTATTTTTTACAAAAAAAAATTGTTCGAACAACAACAAAATTGCAGGCGGAAATTTAAATCAAGAGAAAGAGAGGAATATAAAGATTCAATCTAATAAATAAATGAATATCTTATTTCATAATAATAGAAAATACCTTTGATAATTATGTTATGATAAAAATCAAGGATAAACTTTTCAAGTAATATTCCGGTTATGGAGATAATAGATTGTCATAATTTTTTCAAGTTTCACTTACATTGTAAGGAGATTTATATTGCAAGGCGTGGATAAATACCATCTGAGTGATCAATTGCATTTATTGCAGGGTATACTTAGGAAAAGGGAAAATGAAAGAGGTAGCAGCAGACTTAATAATTGCTGAAGTCACTATACATCAAAATCTGACGTAGCTGGATAAAACCAAGCAAGCTCGGTTTAATCAATGCGATTATATCGAAGATCTTTTATCGTTCACACGTTGTTTTAATCAAAGAAACGGTATATTGTACATTTTTAAATATTTACAAAATAAATCGTGATAATTATACTAGTAAGTAGATATTAGAGAATATGACTAGTAGATATTAGATGAATATGACAGTATAATATGTTCTAACGATAAAATCAATAATCTTTATAAAAGTAGTAAAAGATCAATGATCAATTATTTGATTACTGTATTTCCATTATCAGTTTAATCACGGAGTTATTAAAAATTATAATAATTATTTTTATAGTTGTTATTGTTTTATTATTATAGCCTTATTATTGATAGGTGTTTCGAAATATTTAAGGAGAACAATATGATTTGTTTGAGTACAAAGTTAATTGATATCATTCTCTCTTAGAATTTGTGTTGTCTCACATCCTCTGCATGTATTTTTATCTATTATTACTCTTGCTAAAAAAAAATGCTTTATAAATAGCTTATTGTCAGTTCTGAGGTGACACGTTCTTTCCGTCATTAAATCTATGAGGAACAAGATATATGTATCATTTCCTTATCTAGTCCACAGATTCATGACTCACGATCGCAAATACGAGATATGTGAAATCTCTCCCGCGTCGCGAGTGATGTACGTTTAACTCTGTATACGAGAATGTGGAGGTCGTGATGTATAATCTTCAACGAAGAATTAATTATACCCAAGAATTATAATTATCTAAGAAAATACATTTCAACTTATTTTAATTTCAAATCAACGGCAATCTCTTCCTTTTCTCTTCTTTGTGAAACTTGTGAATTCTCCAAGTCGTTTGAAAAATGCCATTGCATGCTTTTTTAATTGAGAGATAATGTTTCATTGCGCAACGCTACATCATTGATTGTCATTTTGACAGAATTCATTCAACTTCACGCT